GGAAGGATTATATAATGGATTTTGTTGTTTCATGTTTTGGAATTTGTTTGTATATATATATCTAGAAAAGGGTATGTATATGTTATTATTTAAACACGGAGAGCGTTTCAAATTATATATATATATATATATATATATATATATATATATATATATATATATATATATATATATATATATATATACCGGGTGGCGCAAAAAAAAGTACAACTGTTTGATTACTTGTAACTCAGAAACAATAAGCAGTAAAACCATAAATCGAGTTTAATTGCATCCAGCGATATCTAACTTAAATTTTGGTATATATGACAGGCATATTCGTCCAAGATTAACTGAGATATAAGAGTTTAAACTTTTGTTAACAATCTTGAAACGGTCACAAATTAGCTAAAAATCAGTTTAATAGGCCGTTTTTAGCTAATTTGTGACCGTTTCAAATTTGCTAACAAAAGTTTAAACACTCATATCTCAGTCAATCTTGGACGAAAATGCCTGTCGAATATACCAAAATTTGGATTCTACTGCTTATGGTCTTTGAGCTATATGCAATCAAACAGTTATACTTTTTTTTGCGCCACCCGGTATATATATATATATATATATATATATATATATATATATATATATATATATATATATATATATATATATATATATATATATATATATACTGCCCCAATAAACAATTATCGTTCTTACTGTGTATATATACCTCTAACTGATGACGTTAACTGGATCTCAAGGGGGGAATGTTTAAATAGGAATAATCTAAATGAAATGAATTACTTGCAAGTCCGTGCAAAAATAAAATAACTACATATTCCACTGAAATATTTTTCAGAATTGGAAAAGTTATTTTATAATAAGAGTTGTTTTATAAATACGCTCTGCGAGAATGCACCGAGCGAACAACTAACTTATATATACGAGCGCCTACAAGAATTTTCCGATATCCCATACAAGCGCGCTTGCTCTTGAGAATATTTACGTATATATAGAAAATATGTTATCGTAAAATAATTGAACCCTATACCTCAAAAGACTTTGGGACATTTTTTCTCCAATATAATTCTTGCCCAATCTTGATATTTTAAACTCGGTAGAAGAGCGTCGTCTTGGCTCAAGCTATTAGTTTGCTTGCAGGTGATGACGGTTACTAGTGTGGAGTCTGTTGGGTACTTTTGTTAAATAATGAAGTTAAGTAATTATTCATGTCGGACTTCGCTTCGGCATAACAATTATATATGACTCATCGGATTGTCTATTTTGATAAACATGCAAGAGTAAATGAGTAATGGGAATTAATATAACTTCATGCACATATATACTGTGTGTTATAAATAAATCCCGTATCCTGCTAAATCCTGGGCTATTTTGCGGCATCTCGCCATAATATTTTTATCAATCCTGCTTTCGCGGTATATAAAATCCCGTTTTATGTTTTTCCTCAGGTGGCTCGATATATTATAGTAATCCTCATAAAACCAGTGAAACTAAAACAACAATTGCGAAAACAGTGAAACTAAGACTAAGAAAACTACGCTATAGGGAAAATCCGAGTTACTATTCGTTTCTCCACTGGAATATCAACAAAAGAACTTCCAATATGCATGAGTTTTATAGTGCGGGCGGGAGAATGGAGGGCGTCGTCGAGGAAACGCCTGCCCCAAATGGCTATATGACTAATGTGTTTTTACCCATTAAGTTAAAGGTGATTGACGTTTCGTAATCAGTTAGCACAAAGGGATACCAAAGCAAGATTTCAAAAACATATATTTCGAAAATCGTTTACGTACAATGAGCTTTCTTTTATTGTAGTGTTTTGAAGAAACAAGAAGAATTGATTTAGTATTGGAAATTGTGAAATATAGAGCAAGTTTGCGGCTTTGAATGTTTAATATTTACGAGTTTCTTTAATTTTTGC